AGGCTGAACATGCCCAGTGCTTTCAATTCCTTCCTTGGAACATCCTTGTTGCCCTCCTCTGGACCCTTCCCAGCTTGTCTGCATCTTTCCCTAGCTGGGTGCCCAGAACTGGACACAGGACTCCAGATGAGGCCTGACCAGTGCTGAGTAGAGGGGAACTGGTACTTCATGGGATTTGGAAGTGATACTTTTATTAATTTTTATTTTATTTTATTTAAACCATTTTTATGCAGTCCCATTCGCAAAAGCCTCGAGGCAGCTTACAACAATAAATACACATAAATAAACAGTTCAAACAATTAGAGTTAAAAAACCGGAAACATCTCGGCATGTATAAAAACCCCATAGATACGATTCATAAATTAACAATTAAAATAACTTTTAAATAAAAAGGTCTTGGCCTGGCGCCAAAAAACAAATAACGACGGCGCCAGGTGGACCTCTAATGTAGTGTTATTATCTGCTTAAAAAATTTCCCAGAGATGGAGTCAGATTAACTGCTCTATAGTCCCCAGGATCCTCTCTTCTAAAGACAAGGACAGCATTAGCCTTCCTCCAGTCATCTGGCACCTCTCCCTTCCCCCATGACTTCTCAAAGATAATACAATCATACCTCCACAACCACCACCCTGTGAGGCAGGCTGGGCTGAGTCGGTGACTGGCCCAAAGTCACCCCCCGCCCCAAGTCAATGCCATGGCAGAGAGGGGACTAGAAGCCAGTGCTTGTCCCACTCTCTTATTACCACTGCACTTAGGATTCACCTCTGTGGCCGAAGGCTTGATGGGTAAGATTGAATTATCCCATATTAACGCGTTGAGGCCTGAGAGGTTATCAGATCGAATGATGCAGAAGGAGCTGTTTTAGCAGATACCCGCCCTACATGTTTGTGTTTAATATATAAAGCAGTTTTCACTGGCAAGGCATTCATTCAGAGAAAGGCTGCTGACCGAGGAAACAGCCTCTCACTTGGCAGCTGCCACCTCATTACATTTCTTTAACTAATGCTCAAGGATAGCATCCTTGATAAAACACTAGGGCCCCAATCCACTGAACCGAATCTCTATTTTCAACACGGGGTGAGCCAGCCAGTTGCCTGGTGTGCTACACGGCAGGCCCCTGTGCTTGGGGACCCTGGAGCAGCACAAAGGCCCCCAGGGCAGTTCAGCAAGGGGGGCTGGCAAAGGTGAGCAGCTTGGTGAGACCCACATGCCCAAAGCACTGCTTCTCCCCTTCATTTTTAAAACGTTCAGCAACCCTGCTGGGTGCAATGTTGATAGCAGAGCAGCTACTATTTTTGACTGCACACTTTTCAAATTTCTAAGTGTTCTTCAGAGTGAGGGGATAGATTATCATGCAGTCAATAATATAAAGGGAAAAGTGAGGATGCGGAGAAAAACTAGAATCCCCACAAAGAGGCATCCAGGCCACAGTAACACCAAGCTGACCCAGCACACATCTTGTTATATACATCATGAGGAGAGAACTTCACTAATTATGCCCCGTTATATCCACCATTATTGAGCTGGTAAGAGCTTCTTACATGAAAAACGCTCTGCAATCAATAGGAATGGTGTTTGCATTTAACAGGGCCAGATACATATAAAGAAGCGAGAAATGTTTTATTATGACGGCTCCAAGAGGCTTATGGAGGACTCAGTTTCCCTTCTCTCTGTCGCATACCATCCCCAAACACATAGAAAGACCAACATCTCCTTTTCACTGGGACAAGCCTTTTAAATGAGCTCATAGAAGTCCAGTCATAGCCCAATTCAAGGGGCTGGCATTAACTTCCGCAGCCATAAAAAACCTGGCCAGGATCTGAGGCATTGCCTGCCCACAGGAGCTTGCAAAAGCAAGGAAAGGAGCAGCCCTTCCAAAGGGACTGCTGGGTACTGACTGTCAAGCTTTCTCTGTGCGAGGAAGAATTGTGGCTTCATGGCACACCATTTAATGCAGTCTTCCCCAACCTGGTTGAACTAGAACTCCCATCATAGAAACATAAAAACAGAGCAAGTAAGAAGGGGTCTCCAGGCCATCTAGTCCAGGTGGCTCCGCTCACGACATGCCCACCATGTGCACCTCTGGCCTATCTCTGAACACCCACACTGATGGGGCCTCAACGACCTCCCATGGAAGCCCATTCCACACCCTCAGGGTCCTGTCAGGAAATGCTTCCTGGCATCCAAATGGAACCTTGGCTCCCTGAGCTTTGCTCAGTTGGAGCACATCCTGCCTTCCTCTGCAGGGGAGAACAGGTCTCTACCCACCTCGGTGTGACACCCCCTCACATACCTGTATGTGTACGTCGCCAACATATCCCCTCTGAGTCTCCTCTTCTCCAGGTTGGGTTGAAGAGACCCAGCTCCCTCAGTCTCGCCCCATACCCCATCCCCTGCAACCCGAGCACCAACCCTGTGGCCCTACATTGCACTGACTCTAACCTGGCTATATCCTTCCTGTAATGAGGGGCCCAAAACTGAGCACAATACTCCAGTTGTGGGTGCACCAGAGTCGTATAGAGTGGCAGGAACACCTCTCTCGATCTAGAAGCCACACTTCTGGCTGTGCAGCCAAGGGTGGCGTTCGCCCTCTTGGCCACCGCATCACACTGCTGACTCATGTTCAGCCTGCAGGCGACCAGCACGCCGAGGTCCCTTTCACAAGTGCTGCTCTCCAGCCACTTGTCACCTAACCTGTACTTATGACATCCATTCCTGTGCCCCAAGCGCAAGACCTTGCACTTATCCACATTGAACGCCATCCTGTTGTCTCCTGCCCACTTCCATAGTCTGTCCAGATCCTTTTGGATCTGGAGTACCTGCTCCTCAGTTGTGGCCACTGCTCCAGTTTTAGTGTCGTCTGCGAATTTGATCAGGAGACTGTTCACCCCTTCTTCCATGTCGTTAATGAAAAGATTAAACAGGATCGGCCCCAGGACAGAGCCCTGGGGACCCCGCTTGTCACTGGCCACCATCCTGACGATTCCCCACTAATG